CTTTCTCAGCCGAGACTCTGAACTTAATATTAACTCCCTTGCTTAATTGCGTAAATGCTTACTGAAATATACAAACAAATATATTCAAAACATCATTCGCTGATACCAGAGCCTGCAATGGTTTTAACTTGTGTTTATCTTACACAAGTTCTTTTTTTTATCGAACTAACAGAAGATTTGCGGTTCAGGTAGAAGCTCTGATCCTGATCAGTCATGTTTTTAGGTCCTAGCGGCGTTTAAACTAAAGAGCAAGGAAAAAGAAGAGAAAAATCATCTCGTGTCACATTTAAAATGAAAACGTGTATAGGAAGTGTACAGCCCGTACACTGGAACCTAAAAACAGTAATCACTCGAATTATGATTCGTCAAAGAACGATCTTCCTCGGTTCATTTTGAGGAAATATCAACAACCACATGCATAAATCGCCCAAAATAAGCGATATTTTTGAAAAGAATATTTTGACACCCAATGCGGACTATACCCGATGGCGCAAGGGAAGCCGTGAAAAAAGTTTTAATTCCCTGTGTGCACGCATAGCGAATAAAGAGAAAGAGCAGCAGTCATGTGAATAGAAAAGCTTACTGAATGAGTTTATTAAAGTCAGACTGGACGGGATGTTATCTGACTGCTGATCATGATGCATGAACTACTTTACCTTCGGTCTCTATATCACGAAGCAGAGACAAATATTTTTCCTTCTGCCCCTCTTGCAGTCAAAAATATCATTTCATAATTTTGTTATGAAAAGAAACGAGTTTTGAAAGACTATAAATCATAGTCTCCTTATTAAGATTGTGACAAGGATGTCTTGTTTTGAATTTCAGGCAAACGGGATATTTTTTCATGCATTTCAGCTAAAGGATTTTAGGATAAATCCTCTGGTGGCATATTTAAAAGAAGTCAGTTTAAAATCCGGTATCGTGTTACATTGCTGCAGCGTTGCAGCGTTATTCATTTTAACGTGGACCAAGTTTAAACAAAACATTTCGTTTCCAAAGGTCTCTCCATCGATCTTGAAAAGTAAAGGAATATTGCAATACTTCCTCGGGTAAGTCCAAAGCGTACGTGTCTTCTGGTCGA